TCAGCATATACAATAACTCAGAATAACTAGATGTTGTAATAGAAACTAGGCTTTTTAGACATGGTTGCTCCATTATGCTTACAGAAGTTTAAGGAAAACAGTCTGACACCTTGGTATAATGAGCACACTCGCACCCTAAAGAGAGCAGCCTGAAAAACGGAGCACAGCTGAAAGAAAACAAAACTAGAGGTATTTTGTATTACATGGAGGGAAAGTACTTAAAATCCACATGAAATCAAAATGTACAATATTTATTTTGTTAGTGCACACTGTTAGTCTTAAGGTGAACAATTCATCCGTGCAAGTTAATCCTCTGAAAAAAAAAAGTGTTTGTCTTGGTAATCTTTAATCAAAATCTGATCATCTGCTTCCGCTGTGGAATGGTGTTCCTTCTTTGATGACATCAGCTTGACGGCTTGGGCGAACAATGCCCCTCCAGCCATTAGTGAGAGACGGAGAGGAGGAGCGCTTAAATAAAACCCCGCCCTCTATTCATAATTCCATTTCAGATAGAAATACGTCACTACACTGAAATAAAGTCGGCAGCAACTTCCGGTTCATGCAAACTTTAAAAACTGCTAGATCTACTTACTTTTTGTCTCTTTTAGAAGAAAACAACCACAACCCCAGGTCTTCATTCAATGCAATTGTTAAATTATTGAAAAACAAAACATCAACAGGTGCAGACATTTCCCAACATCACAGCAATAATGACTTTATGAAATTATTTACTTCCAAGAGCGATACTATTAGAGATAAGATTATAACCATGCAACTGTCAGCTACAGTATCACATTAGCACTATAGATCCCCTGAGGAACAATTCCACTCATTCCCTGCTTTAGGAGAGGAAAAGTTTTTTATAAATGTGTTAAATCATCTAAACCAACAACATATATGCTAGACCCCATACCCAGTGCCGATCCTAGACTTCTGGGGGCCCTACGCAAAACTGTGTTGGGGGGGTATGAGTGGTCATGAACGAATGAATGAAACGCATTTGTCTGTGTTTCACTCTGTCTCGAATCGCGCTCGCGGAAATGCTTGAGAAACAGTAGGCTTGTTCGAGATGCACTATACTCGCCTGCCACCGGCTGGTGAGAGTAGCCGCTTGCAGTCGGGGCGGAAGTAAAAGCGGAGACGTCAAGTCAGACACTTTCTGCTCCCGGTAGTGATGCTCTCGCAGTGTTTGCATACTCTTATCACAGATGAAGTAAATTAAATGCAATATTTGTCAAATACACAGAAACGTTTTAATGAGCAACAGAAACACTTCTTATATACTGCTTAATACAGCGCCATCTGTTCAAGAATAAAGTTCAGCATATAAACATATAGGCTACTAAATACCGATAAACTGGGTATATATGCTTTTATCAGTGTTTTTAATAAAAATTACTCAAGATAGTGCGACTACACTAAAATGCTTTTACTGTTATAAAAACACAGATTTGTGAGCATTATTTGAATTTAATTGTTAGAATAAACATGCAACACACGTCGGGCTTGTCATCACAGAATCTAACCAATGAGAATAAAGCGTGTCGTCATCAAGGCTCTCGCAGCCGATTTTGGTTTTTGGATTCTGGTCTTATTTTGCTCTTGCGGTACTTTGATGGCACATGTGATCGTAAGGCACAAGCCTAATGTTTCTTCCGCGGCTCGGTACGCTTTCAATTTGTTATTTTAGTCTCGAGCAAGACTGTACGACATTCACATTACATGATTTGACTGATTTTTACGTAGAAAGGGCGACAACGCACCGCATTAAAATAAATGATCATTCATGTTTTCATAACCGCTGGCCAAATTCAAAAACAAAAATTAAAACATCTTTGAAAGCAAGGGGGCCCCCTGGTGTTTCGGGGGCCCTATGCAGCTTGCATATTTTGCGTATAGGGAGGATCGGCTCTGCCCATACCATCTAAGCTACTAAAAGAGATGCTTTCAGAAGTCATAGATCTTCTTCTGAATATTATTCATTCATAATTGTCATTAGGATATGTCCCAAAAACCTTCAAACTGGCTGTTATTAAGCCTCTAATTAAAAATAAAAACCATAACTTGATCCTAAAGAATTTGTTAATTACAGACCAATCTCAAATCTCCCCTTTCTGTCAAAGATACTAGAAAAGGCAGTAACCTCACAACTATGTTCCTTCTTAAAGAAAAATGGTATCTTTGACACTATTAACCACAACATTCTTTTTAATAGACTAGAAAATTATGTTGGCATTAGAGGAATTGCATTGGCAAGGTTCAAATCTTACTTAACTGACCATCATCAGTTTGTAGCAGTGAAAGGTGAGGTACCATAATGATCACAAGTGCAGTATAGAATATCACAAGGCTCAGTAGCCTTTAAAAAAATATAAAAAAAAATAAAAAAAAGTACTAGGACCGCTGCTTTTCACACTTCACGTTATGCTTTGGAAATATCATCAGGAAACATAGTGTTATGCTGAGGAGATGTATCAGCTTTATATTTCTTTGTAGCACAACAAAGCATACCAAATTGCAAAACTAATGGAATGCATAGTTGATATAAAAAACAGGATGACTACTGCTAAATTCTGAAAAAAAACAAAAAAAAAAAACAGATGTGTTAATTATTAAACCTAAAACCTCCGCATGTAATAACCTAGAACACTGTCTAATATTTGATGGGTGCTCAGTAAATTTTTCGTAATCAGTTAGAAACCTATGTGTGCTATTTGATAGCATATTTCCTTTGAAAGCCACATTTCTAGCATTTGTAAAACTGCATTTTTTTCCATTTAAAAAATATATTTAAATTATTACCTATGTGAAAGGCAGAAATTTTCATTCATGCGTTAATGCAGAAATGTTAATCCATGACCTCAAGGTTAGATTATTGTAATGCTTTAAAGGGATAGTTCACCAAAAAAATAAAAATTCTGTCATTAATTACTCACGCTCATGTCGTTCCAAACCCGTAAGACCTCTGTTCATCTTCAGAACAAAAATTAAGATATTTTTTATTAATTCTGAGAGCTCTCAGACTCTCCCATAGACAGCAATGTAATTACCACGATCAAGGCACAGAAACGTAGCAAGGTGATCGGTAAAATAATCCAAATTACATCAGGGGTTCAACCGTAATATTATGAAGCTATGAGAATACTTTTTGTACGCAAAGAAAACAAAAATAACGAGTTTATTCAACAATCTTTCTCCTCCGCGTCACCTTGGTGCTATTTTGGAGAATATCCACTGAACGTAAACAGTGTATGCTGTTCTGTGTCAGCTGCGCCACGCGGATACGTTGTCACATGGATTATTTTACCGATCTCCTTGCTACGTTTCTGGACCTTGATCGTGTTAGTCTATGGGAGGGTCAGAGAGCTCTCAGAATTCATCAAAAATATCTTAATCTGTGTTCCGAAGATGAACGAAGGTCTTACGGGTTTGGAACGACATGAGGGTGAGTAATTAATGACAGAATTTTCATTCTTGGGTGAACTATCCCTTTAAGACGCCGTGGATTACATTTGTTTCTGAAGGGAATGCGCCCCCCGATCTGCCTAAATGCGCCAATCTTTCGTGATCCAGCTTCACCTACAGAAGAAGTGAGTATAAGGTTCTTTTATGAATATGTACAAATCGCCTTTCCTAATAACGTGCTAGTTAGCAAGGTCCGTGGCTAAAGTAAACAGTCTTAGAGAAGGGCTAGTCACCCCACGGAATGGAGGGCCGGGGTGAGCGGAGCTCATTAGCATTTAAAGGAACATGCACTAAAATGGGTTGCTGAAAATAGAGCTGTTTTTGAGCTCTGGTAAAAAAAAAAAGGGTGTTGTTTTACACTACCATTGAGAAATAAATAAAAAAATTTACTTTTCATTAAGACCCTAGAGAATCATATCAACTTGTGGAAAATGGGCATCCGGTGACTCCTTTAACAATCAGGACTGGATGGGCAGGTGAAGTCATGAAACATTTGTCAAAGCAAAAGGAGAAATAAAGCACCTTCATTTTATTTGATTCAGAAGCATTTTTCACACTTAACTTAGATGTTTATTTTATGTTCAGGAGATTGAAAATTGCAAGCAACATGGCTGTGTTTGTGTGGGACCTCATAGTAGTGAAGTGACTTTTCAACCAAATACACACATTTATCAAAGAAAGTATTCAAAGATTTAAATTCTGTCCAGTTAAGCCCCTGTAAACATGAAAAAATAATAAAATGTAATTAATTTAAGTTTTTTTCGGTAACGCTTTAGATTGCAGCCCGCAATTAACAGCGTAAGTAAACAGAAATAACAGCATAACTTTTTTGTCATTATAGATTTATAGAATAAACTGTGTATTATAGCAATTTGACAGGATTTGACCATCTTTGATTTTCTGTTTTGATCCTCAAGCACCATTTCGACTGTTCGGTTCTGGGCTTTACCGCTCATCAGTCGTCGCTCAACGTCGTGAGAAAAACACACTCCAGTCAGTTTCAAAAATCTCTCTCCTTTTCGCTTTAGTTTTCTTCTATTTTCCACACATATTCCTGTCATGAGCACCACAAAGACGATAGACTCGTCTCAAGTGAGTCCTCCACATTCCTAACCCAGTACCGTTGGGTTACTTATTACTATTATCAACCCAAACTGGGTCAAATCAAGCCAGCTTCCTTATCCAGCAGTCTCAACCAAGCTTTTGGATTGAAACAATAACCCAGTGTTTTTTATATGTGTACTATTAAAAGGTACACACTGTATGCATTTGCTAAATCGCTTGCAAATATAAAACTGCTGTTTAGCATAGTAGGTCATACATACCACGTAATATTAGAATAGGTTGCCCTTAGTTTCAAAATACTTACAGTATAGATAATTTGTAATTTTCCAGGTTGTTACCCCCTTATTCCCCAAACTTCACATTTTATTCCATTATTATTTTATTCACATTTTATAGTGCACTGTATAGGTTACAAAAAAAAGTTGTGCTGTAAATTGTGGGCTCTAATCTAAAGCGTTACCGTTTTTTTCTTGCAAAGCATAAGTTTCATTGTCAACTAGTGCTGTGCAATTTATTAACACACTTACAGGACAAATATAAAACCACTGCATATACAAGTCCTGATTTACGCAAGAGTTCAGGGAACACAATCTCAAACATGATGAACAGCTGTTTGCATAGAAAAGCTCACTTAATCTGTCCACAGTTTGAGATGGTGATAGTTTTCGTGGGTTTCCCATCTTTAGCGCCCAGCTCTCCGATTCTCCTCACCACATCCATGCCCTCTTTGATGAAGCCGAAGGCCACATGCTTGAAGTCCAAGTGCTCTGCTTTCTTGAGGGTGATGAAGAACTGTGAGTTGTTGGTATCTCTGCCACGGTTGGCCATGGACAGCAGCCCCGGCCCTGTGTGCCTCACCTCGAAGCACTCGTCTTCAAACATCTTTTCATAGATGGATTTTCCTCCCGTCCCATCCTGGTTGGTGATATCACCACCCTGAGTGACAGCAGGACAAAACACTAATTTAAATAGCCCAAAAAACCTAGCTAGAAGCAAACTCTCCAGATATTTCAGATCGTCACCATGAACATCTCTGTTTATATATGTTTAATTCACGATGTTCAATATTGACCCGTCTTGCTCCAGACGTTCAGCAGATCTAGATTCTTTGATTACTCTTTGTTAATATTTAGAATAATATTTTTTTATATGTTCTGTTTTTATTTGATTTTACATTTTTTTGTGTATCTATACATTTTTATTTTTACATCACTTTTATTTGTTTATTTATAACTTTAAGTCTATTTAGTTTTAGTTATTTTAGTTCTTCAGATTATTTGGAATCGGTGCCCTGGAAGAATTTAGAATAAAAACATTTTTTTTTATTTTAAACATATTTTATAGCAGTTAAAATGTTTATTTTATTTTATACAACAGTTACTTCTGGTGCTGAAATCTGATTAGCTGAGAGGTCTTTCCAGCTATGCGTTAAGACCCGCTCACACCGAGAACAATAACGATAACTGTAACAATAAAGTTCAGAAGAGAGTAGTCATGTTTACACCACAACTATAACTATACAGAGGGATACAATCATTGGGATCCCTTTCAGAACGATTTTCCCCCCTGATGAACAATATAAAACATCGACAACTAATCAGAACTCAGATTTGTGATCTTAATTTGTATATTGAAAACAAGCTCATGCTTATTCTAAAAATCTCAACACCTTGGATAAGGCAGCCTATGTAAAACTGTTTATGGAGCAGGTAAAATGCCTATAATTTATGTTTTTGTTGTTTTAAAGAAAAAATAAGTTAAAGAGTAAAATGTGAGGTTTCTCATTTCATAAAACTTTGTTGTTGTTTTTTTAGCATGTTTTTACAACAACAACAAAAATCAGTTTTCATAATTAAAAACAAATAAATTTAAACATTTTAAAAATAGATTTTGACCAAAAATGTTTGAGAACCATTGTGTTAAATGAGCAAAATATGCAGAAAACTCTGCAGCAAAATGAGGCTATGTTCACACTTGGCATCTTTTTTGAAGCTGCCAGTGTCTGTTTTACATTATAATTCTATGGCGTAAACTGTGTTATCAAAAAAGTCCTGAGTGCTTTTTAAAACGCCACCGCCGGTGTCTTTTTCTGCAGCTCAGAGCGTCTCTTCAAGCTGAAAAAAGTTCCAACTTTTCTTAAAAAAAAAGAAAGAAAAAAAGCCCTACATCAAGTGCTTTTTGACAGCTGACCAATAACAAGCGAGTAGCAAGTCAGTGGAGTGAAGTGACATGTGGCTCTGCATTTAACCCATCCAAGAGCACACACATAGTAGTGAACACACACACCCGGAGCAGTGGGCAGCCATATTGCTACGGCACCTGGGGAGCAGTAGGGGGTTCAGTGCCTTGCTCTCAGTCGTGGTATTGAGGGTGGAGGAGAGCGCTGTACATTCACTCCCCCCACTGGACCTGAGACTCGAACCCACAACCTTTGGGCTACAAGTCCGACTCTCTAACCATTAGGCCACGACTGCCAAAGTAATTTCCCTAACAACAAAAACAACAAGAAAAAAATGGAGAAGATAGCCGGTGGATAGATCGTACTAGTTTCGGAGCACAAAGAGTTGTATGATATGAGCACAAAACTCTATCTCGTCTAAAATATACACCTTTTTCTTCAACGCGGATGTAAGCCTATGGGTGAGACTTCCGGGTCATTAGCTGCTATAGCTAAATAACGAGAAGAATAACAACGTGCGGTAAACGGTAAAACTGTTTGCACTACAAACCAGTGTGTTCATAATTAAGATAATACATTAAAATAATATGGAAAGACACCAATTTTTTATATCAAGCAGCAAAACAAGCTGTTTTGTACAGCTAAAAATAGCTGGACGCGGATAAAACCGGAAGCTAGACCCTGCGTTAAGACCCGCTCACACCGAGAACAATAACGATAACTGTAACAATAAAGTTCAGAAGAGAGTAGTCATGTTTACACCACAACTATAACTATACAGAGGGATACAATCATTGGGATCCCTTTCAGAACGATTTTCCCCCCTGATGAACAATATAAAACATCGACAACTAATCAGAACTCAGATTTGTGATCTTAATTTGTATATTGAAAACAAGCTCATGCTTATTCTAAAAATCTCAACACCTTGGATAAGGCAGCCTATGTAAAACTGTTTATGGAGCAGGTAAAATGCCTATAATTTATGTTTTTGTTGTTTTAAAGAAAAAATAAGTTAAAGAGTAAAATGTGAGGTTTCTCATTTCATAAAACTTTGTTGTTGTTTTTTTAGCATGTTTTTACAACAACAACAAAAATCAGTTTTCATAATTAAAAACAAATAAATTTAAACATTTTAAAAATAGATTTTGACCAAAAATGTTTGAGAACCATTGTGTTAAATGAGCAAAATATGCAGAAAACTCTGCAGCAAAATGAGGCTATGTTCACACTTGGCATCTTTTTTGAAGCTGCCAGTGTCTGTTTTACATTATAATTCTATGGCGTAAACTGTGTTATCAAAAAAGTCCTGAGTGCTTTTTAAAACGCCACCGCCGGTGTCTTTTTCTGCAGCTCAGAGCGTCTCTTCAAGCTGAAAAAAGTTCCAACTTTTCTTAAAAAAAAAGAAAGAAAAAAAGCCCTACATCAAGTGCTTTTTGACAGCTGACCAATAACAAGCGAGTAGCAAGTCAGTGGAGTGAAGTGACATGTGGCTCTGCATTTAACCCATCCAAGAGCACACACATAGTAGTGAACACACACACCCGGAGCAGTGGGCAGCCATATTGCTACGGCACCTGGGGAGCAGTAGGGGGTTCAGTGCCTTGCTCTCAGTCGTGGTATTGAGGGTGGAGGAGAGCGCTGTACATTCACTCCCCCCACTGGACCTGAGACTCGAACCCACAACCTTTGGGCTACAAGTCCGACTCTCTAACCATTAGGCCACGACTGCCAAAGTAATTTCCCTAACAACAAAAACAACAAGAAAAAAATGGAGAAGATAGCCGGTGGATAGATCGTACTAGTTTCGGAGCACAAAGAGTTGTATGATATGAGCACAAAACTCTATCTCGTCTAAAATATACACCTTTTTCTTCAACGCGGATGTAAGCCTATGGGTGAGACTTCCGGGTCATTAGCTGCTATAGCTAAATAACGAGAAGAATAACAACGTGCGGTAAACGGTAAAACTGTTTGCACTACAAACCAGTGTGTTCATAATTAAGATAATACATTAAAATAATATGGAAAGACACCAATTTTTTATATCAAGCAGCAAAACAAGCTGTTTTGTACAGCTAAAAATAGCTGGACGCGGATAAAACCGGAAGCTAGACCCATAGAATTTACAAATGGCTGCGCCCATTTTTACGGCAAGAAAAAGCTGGATACCGCAAACGGTGCATCTTCCAACCGGAGCTCCTGGACTAAATTGCTGTAAGCACCATACTGTTTCCTTCCCCGTATAATGTCGCACACCCACAAACGTCATTGTGAACCGACATTCTCCTCCCCGTTAACTTCAAAAGCCAACGCAAGAGCCAATTTATCGACATTTCTGCAGCACACACTAGGCTACTGTTGCAGCTGTTGTTATAGCCCTCGGCTGCTATTTGTAACCAAAACACTGCCAGCTTTTTATTTTACTAAAGAAGCTCTCTTGTCAACTTTTTCTTGTCAAAAAAGACGCCAAGTGTGAACATGCCCTAACTTGCCCATTATTGACAGATGTGCATTATTTGTTGATTTTATAGAGAACAATTGCAATAATGATTGTTTTGACAATGAGCATCTAATTCAATTTCTGATGCATGCTGTGTTTTCATAATAACATAATAACAGTGGGTTCTCACCTGACACATGAAGCCCGGGATGATCCTGTGGAAGACAGACTGGAGGTAACCGAAGCCCTTCTCTCTCGTACACAGAGCCCGGAAGTTCTCCGCCGTTTTGGGGACAATGTGAGCGAAGAGCTCCATGACGATTCTCCCAGCATCCTCCCCATCTATGGTGATGTTGAAGAACACCACAGGGTTGGACTCTTTTGAATGCGCCTCGGCGGCAGATGTCTGAGCAGCGTCAGTCTGCGACATGCGGCTCTGGCAGTCTGTGAACGCTCGTCTGAAGGACTCGGCCAGCTCTGGAGTCTTGAACTTGACCGCCAGCTGCTCGACTTTCCCGTCTCCCTCTGTATGTGTGAACAAACATGCAGATGTGAAGGCACCAGCAGGAGAGATATGTGTATGAGGTGAGGAGCGAGGCCTGTACCGGAGTAGTCGGTGGCGGTCCACACCAGCGCATTAGCCGAGGTGTTCATGGGCTTGAGCTCGATGCTCTTGCTGATGGTGTGGTTGGCGCAGACATTTAGCACCTGCTCGCGTCTCATCACCACACGGTAGCGCTTTATCACGGGGTGGTAGAGGATCTTGATGTCTCCCACGCCACGCTCCTTCCACTGATTGAGCTCACGATCCCAACGGTACAGTTTGGCTCTTTCTTTGAACAGGATCTCTTCGTCCTCCTCACCGGACTTCACCTCCACCTGCAGGAGAAACATCAGCACATGTCACACTTCTCTAGAGACGTGAAGATCAGAGCTAACAGCATTACAGCAAACGCTCACCTCAGGCAGAGACACGATCGGCTCAAAGTGGATCTCGTCATTTTCACCATCAATGCCCTCTTCTTTTTCTTCTTTTTGTGTCGCTGCACATCCAAAAACTTTGGCTCCGGCGTTTGACCATGTGAAATTAGGATCTGTAAAAACATCACAGCAGCAGTATGCTAACATATACTAGCACTTTTATAATACGAATTCATATTAATACTTCCAGTGAAGTCAGACACATGCAAAAAAAACTAACATTATGAATAGCTTATAAAACAAGATGTTTGAGAAGTTTGAGCTTGTTCACAGACTTTAGACAACAGGCCTGAGCAGTAACATGACATCAGAAAACATAGCCTGTCAGGAAAATACATTATTATAAAATGCAATAAATGTACATCATTCAATCTTCAGGTCGTAAAAATCGAATGATGAAATGTAGGTCTTTAAAAACAAGCAAAAAGACCTTATGATCTGCTTAAGGACATCATTTTCCAAAGCCAAACTAAATTAGATTAGATTAGAATACAAATAACATTGACCTGTGTGTTTTAGGCAGCATTCATTGCATTTACTGTATGCAATAAAAACACTATTTATTATCAGAAGACAATTATTAGGCACTGACCGTTTTTGGCAAATGCAAATTCCTCTTTACTCTTGACTATGTCTGCAAATGAAAACAAACTTGCAGATGCAAATCCCAAAGAAACACCTGCTGGAGCAGAGCAAACACACGTCACAAACTACACAAAAAACACAAAAACAACATTCAGCAGCTTGTTTGAGTGTCCCTTTACTTTACTCTCAGACCCTGATCCTCACTCATCATGCTTTTGATCCTGTCCTGTCTGAATAGGGCCAACAGAAGAACACACACACACGCGCACATATATATATATATATTACTGCTCTCATTGAACTTTGCCTTGTCATAAGAATAAAATAAAATAAAGTTTAGCACAGCAAAAATAGACAACAAAAGTAATTTGCATGCAATGTTCTGGTTGCCGTGACAACCTCACATGTTTGCTGCCGATCTATGTAATCATAGTACAATCACTTCAATATGGAGTGAGGTTTGGCCCCCGGAGCTCCAAAGTCAAGCTACTCCTGTGCTTGAATGTTTAAACTGGCAAGACTGAAAAACGTGCAAATGCTAAACCCGGCCGGGCCAGTATAGTTCAGTCGACCGTCCTTGTGTGTTTGTTTGTTTCCCCAGATATTTGCATTGTATATTGTAGCTTTTCTGGTAATCAAATGAAGGCGTAAATCATTCATTTAATTTATCTTTTAACCAAAAGAATATTCAATATTTTTTTTTTTTGGTAAATAAATTGCTGCACAACACAGGTCTACTGTTATAATTAAAACATGGAAGAAAATTGTGTGATTATTCCTTAAAAATGAAATTGTAATAATAATTTTATAGTAGTATTAAATTCAACAACGTCGTTTGCACTGCGCTCTTCCGTTACTTGATCTTTTTTATTTTGGTGCGACACTCTGTTAAGTTACTTAGTATAGTTACTTTATATAGTATAGATTGTTGTACATATAGAGTTGCATCCACATTCAAATTTAAAAAAAAACTTTGTATAATAGTGATACATATGTGATCCTAGATAATTCTTGTTTTAGTCACGGATATATTATGTGGTGTACTAGTGGATGTGATGTTTTGTGTTGGATATATACATGAAAATTGTCCAGTATTTAAATGGAAATTATTTAATGAGGCTAATTGAACGATGACATCAAGATAATTAGTGATTTAAAAGTGGGTGGAGGGATTGAATTGCTTTGCACAGGAAGGCTTTGAGCCGAAACGTTTGTCTTTTCCCATCAACAATGAATGTAAAATAAAAGGAAAAAGGTCCTTTTAAGGACTGTTCTCGTGAGTGCGGATCATAATTTCCTATAGTAGTATTAAATCAAACAATAATAGTAGTTTCACTTGTAATAATAGTAGCATAATTACTTTATTACCTAAGTACATCTGAGACTTATATTAAATCTTGTAAAAGGTGGCATAATAGGTGCCCTTTAAACATATGTGGCACAGACCGATAGAACCATAAATAAAATCTCTAATGTATTTGTAAATATGTAATTTATTATATCATACTAGGGTTGTGACAGTGAGGAAATTGTCCCACCGGTTAATAGACGTGTGACAACACCGGTAATTCCGGTATCACCGCGGGGGCGTTCCCTCTTTTCCTCGCTTTCCTTCGCGTCTAAATAGCTTGAAAAAGCCTTGCGCATTTTACTTTCACTTTCAAATAGCGGCAATTAGGCGTCAATTGCTTGAATGCAACAACAAAATACAACGTCAAACTCACTTTAGCCTATATATAAAACATAGAACTTTTATTAACAGCAGGCTATGCCTAATATAAACTAACAAATAACTTACATAAAGTTTAATAGGTATACAAAACTGGAAATGAGTAAACATGTATAATATATAACCAATTAAATAAGAAACGTAGAACGTTTATTAGCAAAACGAGTAAGAAAGCTTGGAGGCACGGGATACACCTCGATGTCAAATAAAATAAATTAAATTACACAAAGTTTAAATAAAGTAAAAATCAGCAAACACTGTGGAACCAATTAAATAAGAAACGTAGAACGTTTATTAGCAAAACGAGTAAGAAAGCTTGGAGGCACGGGATACACCTCGATGTCAAATAAAATAAATTAAATTACACAAAGTTTAAATAAAGTAAAAATCAGCAAACACTGTGGAACCAATTAAATAAGAAACGTAGAACGTTTATTAGCAAAACGAGTAAGAAAGCTTGGAGGCACGGGATACACCTCGATGTCAAATAAAATAAATTAAATTACACAAAGTTTAAATAAAGTAAAAATCAGCAAACACTGTGGAACCAATTAAATAAGAAACGAATGTTTAAAAAAACTTCCAAAATCACTTTAGATAAACGGCGAAAGTCAACAGGCTTTTCAAAATCCTAAATACTGCCAAACAGGTGCTTTTGTATCTCATTGAGCAGCCGCGTTCAGTTTTCAATTGTAGTGTCTGTTCTTTTACTGAACTAAATGATTTGTATTACTATAAAAAATCAAAACGACGGTGGGGGTCGGTGACGCGGTGGGCAAGTGACGTAACCGGTGTTGCGGCTTAACACCGGTATCACCGTCAGCACCGTCTATCACGGTATCATACATGTAAACACATACCTCCTGTGTAAATTGTTTATTCACATATATCCTAAAACATGATTGTACACAAGTAAATATAAAATATATACATGTTAAAAATGTATAAGAATAAAAACTTATAGGAAATGTATAATAAATACAAATGTATTATGTTAAGACATTTCTTATATTTTTAACATGCTATGAGATGATGGAGGACTCTGAGGGCAGATGAATCTGCAGGACTTTACCTCTGTCTGAGATCTTCTTGAGCTCCTCTTGGCAGAAATCCTCCAGTTTGTCTCTCAGCTGATGGACAGATTCTCTCAGAGCATCAGAAGGGACGAGAGAACTGAAGGGATCCTCATCTAACCTCAAACCTACCCGTACCACCAAACCTGTCCCTAACTTTACCCGTATCCCACCTCAATAGTAGCAGAAGTGTTTTGCAATACAATACGAACACAATAAGTACATTGTACTTATTTTTTGACTTAAGTACATAGTAGTTAAGGCCACTTTATATAAAGAGGGACCCTGAAAATAAACTGAATTGAATCTATAAATAGATGAAATCTGGATTCAGACAGATATGGAAAGTCATCCATCACTGCATTTAACTTGCATTTTGACTGATAGAAGTAAATATGTTGTCAAACAATGGTTGAATATTTCACTCCATTATTTTATGTTGCTTAATCAAGGCCAGCTTTATGAAAGATTATATTGACAAAGGTTTACAATGCATTTTCAGACTTGGCAGTGAAACTCTTCTAGCTCCTCTTATTTTTGCTGACATGTGCAGTGCGAATGCTGTAAACTGTTAATAAGGGTGCCAATATAAACAAGCCAAAGTCTTAACATTATTTCATCAGTGTCTAGTTCTAAATACCTGTGTCTCTGTCATCTGTGCCGCAGCTGATACAGTGCCGTGGTTTTTATGTTCATCCATCGCAAGCTGCTCCAGCTCAGCGTCTCTCCTCCTCAGATCATTGATCTTCTTCTCCAGTCTCTCCAGTCGTCCTTCAGCTCGACTCACTGCGGCCTTTTCCTGAGCTCTGATATCAGGAATCAGGAGCCACATCAGCTCAAAGCAGCTTCTCTCAATGGAGCAGTTGAGCTTAGTAAAGATACTCTGCTCACTGTCCTCCACTGCTGTCTGTGCAGAGCGCTGTTAGGACACACAGTGATTCAGGCGTCAGTGAGTCTGAACTGAGACTGAGACAAACTTCTCTTCTTCTCCAGACTCACCTTATGAGACTCCACCGCCTCTCTCAGCTGCTGAAGATCTTTCTCTCTCTGCTGGATTCTCTGCTGGAACGTCTTCTGCGTCTCCTTCAGCTGGTGCTGGAGAAACGGATGATCGTAAATGTCACAGAAAGCTACTATGAACATTTGAAGTAGGGTGAGGCAGTTTATCTGAA